CAAAACTGGTTAAAAGATTTGTTGTTAGCATTTTGGAGTTTGCAAAAAATGCAAATAAAACTCAGTGTATGCATTGTTATATTAAGTTATATTAAAAAAAGGAAAGTGATGGAGTTTGTTTACTAAGTTTTCAGCTGTGTATTTCACAAACTAGACGGCAACTTACCGTGAAGATGCTGCGCCACCATCTGCTCAGCTGTACTCTGCTACATGCGCTGCAGACAGTGCTGATAATATTCTAAGCAGTGGAGCCAGAGTGCCCTCTGCTGGACAAACTATGTGACAACACTGTTTCTAATACGGCTACTTTTCTACACCGATATCGCCCTCCCTCTGTCTTAAAAAGAAACATTTGTCTCTGCAATCATTGTTTAACAAAACGAACTTTGTACATGCAAGAACAACGACGAACCAGTCTACATCAACGATACATCAAACACCAGAGCAGAATAATCTGTCAGTTTATGACTTCTGCTGACTTTAAATAGTGGATACAGACGCAGAGGGCTTTATGTGCCAGTGAAGTGATGGTCAGTCTTTATAATATACAACTAACACGCAACAGTAAATGTTTTATGAAAAAAAAAAAAGTAATGCATGTTTTCTATAAACAAAATGAGCGAGAAGTCTTGATGCGTCCAAACTTAAGACCCAAAATGGCTCCGGCCTGTGGAACACCTACCTGGACCCCGAGCATGCATTAATTTCCACAAAGGACGACCTAAAGATAATTAGACGCGATTACAGAATGAGAAAGAATGTGTTGACGCATAATGAACTATCAAATAACTAGTGACAGTTGGAAATGGCCGCAATCTTTGGTTTAATACTGAAAAAGTTATTGTTTATTTCCATTCATCCAGAACCCTCCATCTTTCTCTGACTTCTGAATGTGGACCCTTCTATGTGGTGTTTAGTCCACCCACCATCCACCCCGACCTCCTCCTGTTGATTGAAGCAGTTCATAAATGTGGTGTCTTTAATCCTTCAGTGTAAGCTAAACTGTGAGTGTTGCCAGTGAATCACAACTGGGGGAATATTGTAGCTGTACATGAGTGTAATATGTGTAGCATGCCATACTCCTCTGTTTCATCTTATATTTCCAGTCTGTTGTTTCACCATCAGCTGTCCAAAAAAAAAGTCAAATACGTCAAACAAAATTCTTCAACAAAAAAAAACTTAATTTCTAGGAGACAGGGCTAAACTTTCTCTGACTTTTCTTCAGGCAATATTTTGATTTCACAGCACAACAAAGCAAGAAAATCTCCAACAACCAAAACTCTTCTCTTATAATGACAATTAAAATGCTGATAATGATCCGTTCATGTTTTCAGAGTGCATCTTCACCAAACTGTCCATTTTTAATAATACATCGTTGACTTTCTCTTCTCCGTCTGACCCTGAATCTGTGTCAGCTGTGGGTTTAATGATTCCCTGGTTTATTTTGGTGTTTTTGTGAGAGTGCAGCACAGAGCCTGTTTGAAGGGAGAAATATGACTTTTGATTTTCAACTTAGGAACAGTCATCATGTTTCGCCTGCTGTGCAGATAAGCTCCAAACTGTAGCCAGCAGTTTGTAGAAAAAGTATTGATCTTGACAAAGTACACGCTGTTTTCATTTTTGAACCTTGGATCAAGGAACAAATCTGTTTTCCATTGTCACTATCAGGGCGCTGATATTTTGGGAGGTAAATAATTTTTTATTATAATGATGGATTTTTCTTTTCTTTCTAGGAAACATCTTTATGTCAACATGAGAAATACTTTCATGCTTTCTGATTGTTTTTGAAGTGTTGTTTCGTGTAAATCATCTATTTATTCATAACACCAGCTTTATTTCGGTGACCCTGGGATCCTGGGTCCTAACCAGTTTCTGATTAGCATCTGTATTTAAAAAATAAAATGACTTTTATGAAAAAAAAAAAGCAAGTATTGACTGTAATCTGTCTTTCTATCTTCAGAATTCAAAAGTACAGCCAGCAGGTAAAGTTCAGTACAGTTCTGAAATGTTTGTCCATTCTCAGCTACTTTCTGCTACACTTCACAGGGTAATGTTTCACTTTTTTGGCAGAATATATCCTACATTGATTGATAACTGCTTTGTTTATACAAAGTTAGAATGTAGTAAAATAAAAAAATACCTGTAATAATTTCCAACAGCCCAAAATTCCTTGCTTTGTTTGAGCAACAGCTGAAAACCACCGAAAATTTAATGTTTAAAAAAATCAATGCATTGAATTTCCTGAAACTGAAACCTGCAAAACATTCAGCACTTCACCTTAAAGAACAGCTACAACCATTAATCTGTGATTAAAGCAGCAAACACTTTTTACTCCACTTTCATTTCTCAAATCATTTTTTTAGACTTACATTAATGATACAGAACATAATCAATACATAAGTTGGCAAAGATTAAGAGTTCATTGATCTCTCAAGGGAAATTGCAGGATTAGTGTAGATCAGTAATATAATTATTTTAAATGAGCCATTGTGTAATATGGTGGGAAGTTTTGAATCCAGGTCTTGTAATGAAATATTGCTGCTGCTTTTCTCAGGTTTCACCGGGTGACAGAGTATCTGCACAGCCTGCAGCTACCAGATGAAAGTCCAGCCTTCTTTCTGTGTGTGTTTGTGTGTGTGTGGGCGGGTGTGGGTGTCAGCCATGGTGTGAGGGCGTAAACTTGTTTAGAAAGTCACTTTATGGGGACAAATAGCATGTCTTTATGATGCAAATCATTCAATTGAAGGTGAAGACACATTTTTCAGTGTTCAGACAGTAACAATTCTAGTTAAGGTTGGAATAGATATCCAGAAAATGAATGTAGCCTCTCAGTGTATCCACAGTCCATGGATACACAGGTTTTAGGTGAGTAAAGGGGGCGTGGTGTTTCCACTAGTCTACCTCCACCTCCCTCCTCCACTTTTCATTCACACACTGCTCCTGTTGGAAAGAAGCCACAACTGAGACATGAGTGGACGAGTTGGAGACCTCAGCCCAAAGCAGGCGGACATCTTATCTCAGGTAACGCATTAATCATTATTACTCTCAGTGAGTGGACAGATTTTGTAGTTGTCCTGTGGGGGTATGTTGGCCAACCAGGTGCTTTTGTTGAGCTGTCATTCACACTGATCCACATGGTAACTTCAGCCAGGCCCATTGTTTTCAGTCGTCAGTCACTAAGTATCAGTTTACATGAAGATCATTTATTTGACAGTAATAATTCTATTTTATTCTGCTTTGTAATTCTACTTCAACACATCTAAGTAACAACTACAGCTACCAGCTACTGATCAGGTTCACATTTAACCTAAAACACGTAGTACACATAATAGACTTGTGAAATGTATGAACAACAAAACTGGTGTTTAGTTGGTGCTTTTTCTTCTGGTTTCACGTAAGTTTATTTAAATGACCCCAAAACAGTAAAAAATAGACAAATATTTTGTACACCACAACATATCAGACAGAAAGATTCATGTTTTCTTGGAAACTTGACTGCTGTAAAAATTAGTTTGTAAAAAAGACAGTTTAAGTTTCTAAACATCAAGCAGTCCTTTAGGAGGTTAAGTGTGTAACTAAGGTTCTTAATGTAGCTGTAGATGTCTGCTGTAAAGTTCCATAAGTCCTTTAAGTTGCTTACTTCACTTCAAGAAAAAACCTTTGACAACATTCTAATGGTCACTGACATAGGTGTGATAGTCAGAGGTCTGATAGTCTTCTACATAGTCTAGATGTTTGTTAGAGGTTTGTGTTGGTCATGGAAGAGGTTCTAGATGGTTTTGGAGGGTTAAGTGGTAACTGAGGTCCTTTATGGGGCTCAAGGGGTCTCATATGAAGTTCTACAGGTTCTTTAACGCGTTCACAGTCCAAAAATTATGTCTTTTAGGAGGTTTTAGTGGCAAATATTCTGGTAGTCATGGGTGATGTCTTTTTGGAGCTTCTTGGGTTCATAGAGGAGGGCTGTAGCTATTTTGAGGGGTTCTAGATGTTATTGTAAGTGTTCTTGGTTCTTTGGCAGGTTCTGAGTGATTTTATAGGTTGGTGGTCACCGAGGATAGCGTGCAGGTTATTTACGAAGTCTTAGTGATCATTGAGGCGGTTTCGGGGACTTTTGGAGGTTTTTGTTGTAAGTGAGGAGGTTTGAGGTCTTTTAGGAGAGTCTAGAGGTTCTATTGAGTCACTAAGGATGTTTTTGGGGTCATTGAGGAGGATCAGAATGTGCCTCGGTGTTCCTGGCGTCACTGAGAACTTTTCTGGTTCTTCTGGGGTTTGGGTTTACGATGGTCTTGGGATCACTGGGAAGTTTCTAGAGTTACAAGTTAATTACAGATGAGGAGATTAGGACCACATTCGTGTCTGTACAGTAAATATGAAGCTACAGCCATTTGGATTTGCTTAGCAAAGAACTGAAAACAAGGGGATACAGGTAAGCCTGGCTGCTCGGGCTGGTCTATAAAAGGTCAGATAATGGTGAAACATTTTGGTTCAGTGTTGGTTAACGCTCAGAAAGACCAACATCTTGGTTTGTCCACAGCCCAAAAATATTCAGTTTAGTGTTATTGAGGAGGAAAGAAACCAGAAAATATGCACATTTAAGACGCTGAAATCACAGAATATAAACATTTTTTTCTTATAACATGACTCAAAATGTTTAACTGATTATCAAAATGGTTGGCAATTAATTTAATTGTTGCCAACTATTTGAATAATCATTGCAGCTCCACTAGCTACCCTTAGTCTTGTTCATTAACATGCTGTTTACTTTCATACCTGTTTCATCAACTGTAAAAATGACATATAGGGCTAGTAGTGCCTTGGAGATGCTTGTTTTTGCATTTTCGTGTTTAATAGACAGAACCAGGCCAACACTTTTCTCCTGTTTTATGTCTTTATACTCTATGTCTATCATAAATACATGCACTTTCTGATCATTTTGTCCTCTCTGGTTCTCTACCTGCAGTTTCGGGGGGGGATCCAGGACATCCTCCCCAGCCTGCCTGCTCAGCATGACCACTACCTCCTCCGCTGGCTCCGAGGTGAGACCTGCAGCCGTCGACACTCACCGAAACCTGGACAGGCTGCAGCTAGTTAACATTTTCTCTGTGTGGACAACAACAAGAGTCTCGCACCTATTCACGTACAGCGGGACATCTTTGATCCAAAGAGGAGTGAAAGATAAAGAACCAGCAGGCCCACTGCCAAGCATTAACAGATATGACGAGTGCCAAATAGTTACAGACTGGAAAAACAGCTGAGTAATGACACCCTTTATGTTTTGAGCACCTGTAGATATCTTAAATGAACCAGTGGAAGGTACTTTTTACTGCACGACATTTATCTGCAGCTGCTTTTCATAGCAAGAAATCACGCTATAAATCACCTTGTCTCTGATTTAAAATACTTGATGAAGTGCTTTAGGGTTCTTATCTCTTATATGTGCTTTTATCTTGTCTGAGGTTTTGTCTTTAATGTGTTTACTTGTCAATTTTCACGTCACTGGGGCAATTAAGGCAACCCAGGTTACATAACTTCAGGTTCAGTGGAAGGGAGAGTTCACACACAGTTCACCCACGTTTGACATAAAATTCACCAGGAATGGAAATGAACTAAGAGCAGTGTTTTCTAAAAGTATGATAAATGCTTTTATTTCATTCAATTCATATGCAAAACGCATATAAATATATGTATTTTGATAAGAACATGTTAAAGTTGTAGCTACAGTCAGGTCCATGTGTAGTTTTTGTAGTTCTGCCTCCGTTTATCACCACAGTAGAGGCAGCCGTCAAGGCGTGATTGAAGTTCAGACTTTCAGTGTTAGTTCAAGGGGTTTAACTAAAATATTGCTTTGATTATTAAGTAATCAGTCCCTCCATTTTCACAGACGCAAAAGTAATTTAACAAACTAACAGGATATAAAGACTTTTTTAATACTTGACGTCAGAATGTCACAATATTTGAGTTTTCTCCCTTGACAAGCTTTACTTTTACTAAGCCGCCTTCAGCTGCTGCTGGTTTGGGAGTCATATGATCACTCAAAATGTTTATTATAGGGCTGATACAGATTATTAGGATTCAAGGAGACAGATACATGATAGTTGAAGCTGATACTATTGGCTGTAAAAATGAGAATCTTGAGGTCAAAATTCATAATAACACATATTCCAAAAGGAAACGCATAAGCTGGAAAGACCTCTGTTTATGTTTTACGTATTTAATTAAAATAAATCTTTTCAACATTTAACCTCCCTTGATTGGCTGTAAAGATTTTAAAAAAACTAATAAACAAACAAAATTGACTTTATTTGTCCCCTGGTGGCAGTTCAAGAGATGTGAGACAGGGCTGTGGACGGGATGTTTGCACTGAGGCACCAGATGGGAACTTTTAGTGAAGTACAGGCTGTAAGTGCATGTAAACATTTCCTGAGAGTACCTGATGAAAAGTGAACACACCAGTTAACTTTCTTCTAAAGCAAGAACAACAGTCTGTTACTATTCTACTCAGAATAGCTAAGATACCTGTTGGAACTAACGCCTGGGGCTACGCTCGCTCTGTGTGACGTCTGACGGCGACTAACAAACCTGTTCCCAACGTGACACTGTTTCCAGTTTCAGTGAGTAAATACCAGAGCTGGAGGTATCGATGCCTGTCAGAGGACAGCATGTGGAAGGCTCATGTTTGGAGGATTTCGCTGTCTGACTGACCCAAAGCTAAACTCTCTACAATTTTTAGAAGCACCAACATAGTTTCAGGTTTGGTAGTTCATACTCCTGGACTTTTCTGTCACCTTTGCATGTCTCATGTTGCATAAAAAGTCCTGATGACACTGAAAACAAACAACGAAGCACATTAAAGACAAAACCTGAGGGGAGATAAGATTAGATTAGACCCTGAAGTAGTTTTTGAAATACTTAAAAACAGAAACAAGGTGATTTATAGTTTAATATCTGGAGCTGAAATTTGTCAGATAAATGAGCAGCAGAAATAATTAAAGCATTCTCTTAAAAAAACAAAAACAAAACCAAAAAAACTTTTTTTTACTTTTAATGAACTTGCTAAAAAAAAAGTGGTATAACTCTTTACATTTAAATTTTGGGGGGTGTCCCTTTTCTTGTTCATAAGTTAGATTTTTGGTTAATGTAATCAAGTGCAGAGGTTTTATACACATTAAAAATAAAGAACAGTTAGAAGATTCTTTCATTAATTATGTGGCAACTGTAGCTGCTATAAACTTCTATTTTAATATATTTGTAGCTTATTGGTTGCTAATGATTTAGAGATGTGTTTGATGCAGATTTTAATTTTGCTGAATGAGTAACTTTACTATTTTATACTTTAGTAATTTTAATATTTAGCAAACTGTAGACGCAAGTGTCCACATCCCACGGAGGTGCACAGAGGAGTTAAATCTGTGTCAGTGTTTTACAAATCAACATTACAAAGTGCTTTACAAGACCAATTAAAAGGTGAAACTCCTACCACTAACAGCTTGGGTCATAAATGGAGGTTGTGGGTTATAATTATGGCCTATAAATCACTTTCTCTTGTCCTAGAAATTAAATCCAGCTCAGTTTCTCTCATTATTTAAACTTTCTTGCCTTTTTCTGCTAGAAACTGCTGCTGAATGCAAAAAAAATCACACTCAGCTGAATTGATTGACTTATCTAACCATCATCACCGTAACGGAAAATAACTAACACAGCTTGTGATCACTTCAGCCCTTATAAACTGATACTGTCCGTGGTGTTATAATTTGCATTACTTAAGGCAGTGAGGCGCGTCTCACTGGTGAGCCAGTCTTAATGATTCACAATAGTCAAACAGCAGTAGTTAAAGCTGAGGAGAGAGTGATTATGTGTGATCATTGTGACACTTTCAGGTACCAGTTGGATTAAAGACAAAATTTGTCCCATGAGAATCATCTTAAAGAAGAACTTTTGGGAAATACACTTGAAAAGAAAACCTACTTGCACTTGTGCATGTTAATGTTAAGAAAAAAGGATAAACAACATGCTCCATATGATCAGGGATGTTGACTGGACCAAAACTGGGAAAACAAAATCTTTAACATTTGTATTCCTGAGGAACATTTAAATGTGCTCAGTGTGTAATGTACCGAGGCTAGCTACATTCAGAAAAGTACATGTGCTCATAATGACACGAAATCAGAGTGTAAATGAAAGTTCTTTGATGTTCTTTGTTCTTAGAAATGCAAATGGATAGCCTAGAAGTTCTTGTCACTAACTAGAGATGCTAGTAACCAGCATAAGAATACCTGTTGCTAGCCTCAGGATGCCAGTTATCAACCAAGGAATACTAGCCAATAATCTAGGAAATAGTCAGCAATCTAGGGATACTAGCCACTAATCAAGGAATACTAGTCAGTAATCTAGGAATACTAGTGACTAATCAAGAAATACTAGCCACTAATCAAGAAATACTAGTCAGTAATCTAGGAACTAGTCACTAATCTAGGAATACTAGCCACTAATCAAGAAATACTAGCCACTAATCTAGGAATACTAGCCATTAATCTAGGGATACTAGTCACTAATCTAACAATACTAGCCACTAATCAAGAAATACTAGCCACTAATCAAGAAATACTAGCCACTGATCTAGGGATACTAGTCACAAATCTAGGGATACTAGCCACTAATCTAGGATTACTAGTCACAAATCTAGGGATACTAGTCACTAATCTAGGGATACTAGTCACTAATCTAGGAATACTAGCCATTAATCTAGGGATACTAGCCACTAATCTAACAATACTAGCCACTTATCAAGCAATACCAGCCACTAACCCAGGAATACTAACCACTAATCCAGGAATACTTGTCACTAACATAGGAATCTTAGCTGCTAATCAAGGAATATCAGTCACATGCCTAAAAATGCTAATTAAACTCATTGCTAGCCTTTGGATGTGAGTTACCAAACTACGAATAGAAATCTTAAACATAAAGATTCTAGTAACCAGCCAAGGAATGCTAGTGTTTCGCCAAATTGTTTGTTTAGCCAAGTGAAATCTTAACTTGTCTGTTGGTTAATCAA